GCCACGTTGACTTCTCGTGTGCGGCCGCCCTGTTGGTCTTGATGATCTCTCTCGCCTTGTTGATGATCTCTGCGAAAGTGTTGTACTGCTCGCGATCACCAAGTGCGAGTCTGAGAGCGGCGCATGACCTGTTGTAGAACTCACGGCGCAGATGCGGAATTGGCAAGTCCAGATTGGGCGTGGCCACGATYTTCTGCCAATCCGTGAGCCAGTCACGTGTTGTTGTGCTCCCTTGAGCCATCGCGAAGATGCGGTTGATGGCGAGCGCGGGTGCGTCATCCACTATGAACCGCTTCTTCCATTCCTTTGTCATATCCTCCCAGGTGACCTTCTTATGCAGGTCTGAAACCTGGACGCCGTGGATGGTTGCCATGTGGCTGAGCCAGATCTGACATCCTCCCTTGGTGTTGATGAATAGAGCACTGATGAACATTTGGTCTTGCGGCGAGCCTGGGCATCTGCGTCTGCTTCGGCCTGTAGCCGCAGCTTCTCTGCTGTTGCCTCTTCTTCAGCCTGTAGCTGGGCAGCCTTGACTGCCAGCTGGCGTTGTTCCTCAGCCTCGATTGCAGCGAGCTGAGCCTGGAAGCGCTTTTTGTAGTCGGCAATGGGCTCATTGGCCAATTGGCCTGGCAGGCCCGTCATGTTGCTGACGTGGCACTGCTTACGTGGCACTGCTCATGTGGCAGTCTGACGTGGCTTTGTCTGACGTAGCACTGCTGACGTGGCACTGCTTACGTGGCACTGCTTACGCGGCACTGCTTACGTGGCACTGTGTCTGACGTGTCACTGTACGAACCCGAAAATGCATGCAAAGGGTGGGTGGGAGGGAACACGCAGGTAGGAAACCAACCCAACAATACTTTCCTCCGGCCCTAATCAACAGAGAAAAAATAAAAAAATAAAAGAGGACTAACTTCCTTTTTTTTTTCTTTTTGTATATCTGTCGATCTATTATGAGTGAGACATGTCAGAAGAGTACTATAAACGAGATCTAGGCTAGGTTCCGCAAAGTTTCAGCTCTTGAATTTTTTTTTTTTTTTTTGCGAAATGGAGTACAGATGCGATTTTTAGAAAAGAACAAAATCCCGTTTCTGAGAATATGGCAATCTCCGAATATGCTTGACGAAGTGTTGGTAGGCTCCGCAAGATTTCGGTTTTCAAAAAAAATTTGCGAGATAGAATGGAAATTCGATTTTCAGAAAAGAATAATTTTGGTTTCCGAGAATATGACCATTTCTATTATTATCCCAATCTGCCTAGAAAACGAAATACTAACTTCAGAGATTTCAGCTATGTATGCGAAATATCAGAGAAACGAAATGCTACTATCGGGAATTTTCAGACAAAAAGAAATGCGATTTATCAGAATTTTCAGATATTTGTTACGTGAAAACGAAATACTAATATCAGAAAAATTCAGGTAAAACGAAATGCGAATATCAGAAATCTTCAGATAGTTGTTGCGAGAAAAAAAATTTCAGAGATTTGACGAAGTCCTACTTGCGTCACAAATGAGCGATCAATAGATCGCAAGCTGGCTACTTGATTGAGCGGGTCCTCTGAATGAGAGGCCCGCTCCGATACCAAACTGTTGCATACTGTAACGGTGCAGACCAGAACAAGAACCGACCTCTCAATACAAAGTATWAGATAGCACAGCGGAAGACTTAGATACCAGTGATCCGAACAATCAATATTGCAATGCAGCCCCAAACATACATCATCATCATCATTCCATGGTGTGAAGGGGTCTGGCGTTTCACACAGGAAGACTGCGCCAGCCCCAACCATACACAGACGAAGGAGATGGGGGTTAGACGAAGAAGAGGGGAAGATGGGAATGTCGTCAACACCAAGTGTTCAGCACAGGCCCAAATAGTCCCTCATCGAAATGTCTGAATCCCAAATGTCGAGTCTGGATCCAATGCCGTCAAGTCTCAAGTCACAACTCTCTCTCTCTCTGTAGTAGTCCGCCAGCCATCTCCCTCCACTGCAACTACTACCACCTACTAGCGCCCAGCGCTGAAGACTACAGCTGTGGCTATGGGCGCCCAGCGCCGAAGACTACTACTAGCGCTACTACTACTGCCTAGCGCTGAAGACTACTGCAGCGCTCCTCCTGAGTGCTGCGGCCGAAATCTGAAGACTACTTTTACTCTCCAACTGCCTACCCGTTCAGTGCCTGAAGCTCCTATGTACTATCACGGGTGCCTCCTGACTCGGGC